TTGGTGTATATCTCATGGATGAGCGGACTCCGCTGCCACACCAGAACACGCCTACGAAATTGAAACCCCTTGATTTTTCTCATTCTTCTTTTTAACTCCCCTCATGGATGGGTGGACTCCGCTGCCACTCCAGAACACACCTCCGAAATTGTCTGGCAAGACCAGTGTTCCCAACTCAGATGTTAAAAAAAAAAAAAAAAAAAAAAAAAAAAAAAAAAAAAAAAGAAACAGAACCTTGCGACTCTGCCTGCATTCCATTTTGGGGAGCATGATTCACAAAGCCAGCCAAGAAGAACAAGCAACCTTGATAACCGCCACACCCAGAGGTCGGAACTCGGAAGTGACCGGCGCACGAACACAAATTAGTAAATTTAGTATTTACTAAATTAGTTAAAATTCCACATCCAGACCTGCGGTTTCCTGAGCATCATCAGGAGAGTGACCGAGCAAGCGTCGTGCCCTAGCCGACTCCATGCACATGGTCAAGAACCGATCGCCGCACGAACACAAGACATAAAAAATCGTCACTGTGTATCATGATGCATGGGCATGCCACCAAGCCAACCACAGATCCTCTCTCCGAATTCCTCCATTGAGAGCATACTCACATTGCCACAGCCCTAAATGTACTATCTGCCATCAATAATGTGTATTTGTGTATTTGTGTATTTACATCCACAAATAAGTAACAGAGTCCTCGTGTGAGTACACAACCTGAAACACACTCTCCCTAGTAGCGCACCGTTGGACCCCGGAATATCCAACCCAGGTCCTGGCCGTTACGTTCTGTGGTCCCGATCATCCAATGCAGAGACGACCCAGGTACAGCGTGACAGCTTTGTGCATCCACAAAACTTGTGACACGACCCCGGTACAGCGTGGCAGGTTTGTGCATCCAGAAAACTCGTGACACGCTGAAGCCAATCCAAATGCAAGCACTGTTGCTGAAGTAGCGGCAGATGAAACCACCACTCCAACGCCCTCCGCACTGTTCATTTTTCTTGTCTACAAGTACCGGGCCAAAATCTACAGTGCCCGGGCTCGGTAGAGGCCCGCCCGGGAAAGGGTACCACAATTATTTTTCCTCACGGCAGCGCTGTATATTAGGCTCAGGCAGACACAACTTTTGGTTTGCCAAAATGAAGTCCGGATGGAGTGGTGGTTTAAGGGTGCATGGAGAAAACTCGCAACACACTGAAGCAAATCCGAGCGCAAGTACAGCTGCTGAAGTACCAAATTTAGCGTCATCGAGTGCCGTGTCGGCAATCAGTAAGTGGGCATAAAAAAATCATCACCCAATGCACTGAAAACCTTGGCATGACGTAAAGACTTTTGCGTATCAAGAAAAAGCCCGTGGCACCCTGAAACAAATCCAAATGCAAGCACTGCTGCTGCAGTAGCAGATCAAGCGCAACCAAGTGCTGTGCCCATGCTGGTGACGCAGCTGTCGTATGGCCTTTTCTTTTTTTTAACTTTTAAGAGTTTTTTTTTTTTAACTTGAGCTTTTGACTGAATCTAGCCGCGCAAAGGGAAAAAAAAAAGTACGCCATCATACTACAGCAGCAGATGAGCCACTGCTTCACTGGCCCAGTATGGCGAAAAGTTTGACTGGCAAATAAGAGTGGATTCAGCACCCAAAGAATTTAACAATCGAACTGCATCATAACCAAAATTATGAATGCTCTACAGACTCCAGTACAGAGTACAGAGGCTGGATGAAAATAATGTCATTATGGCAAATTTTTAGGTGACTTTCCCTCTGAAATTTTCTTATTCGGTTGTTCAATGATTCTACGACTTACGGATGTACAGGAGTTTCTGCGACGCCACATCTCTGCATCAATAATTTCGGTGCAGAAAACCGCTTTTCTGCATCTCTGCATAAAACCCATCCAGATTCAGGCGCTTAAACCGCCCGTACAACTGGGCCTGGAGAGCGCGATCTACTGCACGCTTTGCCGAACCCCAGTGGCACTCTTCTTTTCTTTTTTGGCCGGCGCGCGCTGCCACAGCCATTGTGGTCCAGTAGGTCCGAGCCCCAAATTTTTCTACTAGCGAGTCTCTAGCGGTTTAAACTTTATAACCCCAGTACTCCACGCTAGTGTGAGCTACCCCTGAGGTAAAGCGGATGCGCGACCAGACTGCGTACTGCCATGACAGGGCAAGCCATTAGAGAAAACCACATCCGCACAAACCGGCACTGTCCTCCACGTTCTGCTACTGCACCCAGCAGCAATGCTTACGGGCGCGGATCTCTCTAAGGAGGCATGAACCATCTGAAAGGCTCAGACCCACCGCGATGGCTTCTTGTTCCATCTACCTTTTTCTTTCCCAGAAACGGGACAATCACTGTGAGTCGCCGGGGATTTCACACACCTGATCATCCAATGAAAAGGGACGACATGGCTGACTCACCACGCGTCGGCACCAGCTCAGAAACGAGACACGATGATGGACTGAAAGCGCCTACTGTTCGAGAGCAACCATCCGCGCTCCGATGAAATACTACGTTCATCAGCATGACGAGTCAAGCTGATCATCGCATGCGGACAAAAAAAAAAGGTACCAAATCTGACGAATTGCTGACGTATATTCGTTCAGAGTGCAAGGGCACCCTCTTGCTTGCTGGTTTGGAGAGCCAGTTTAGTCAGCAAGTCGACAGGTCCAAGGCCTAACCCCAGCATAGCCATAAGTATGCCTCTGGGCTACGATGCTTTACAGTGCCTGTTCTGGCAGCACATTTGCAGTCCAAGGTCCATCCAAAAGGGAGCGGCCATAGCCATAGCCATAGCCATAGCCATAGCTATAGCCATGCTTTAGTCTCTGGCCCTGCAATGTTTCCCATGGCTGTTTTGGGAGAACGGTTGCAGATAGCCATAGCCATGCTTTAGTTTCTGGCCCTGCAATGTTTTCCGATGCGTGTTTCCGGAGAACAGTAGCAGCTGAAGGCCCCACAGAAGGCAGCCACAGCCACACCTTTCTTTCCGCCCAGCGCCCTTGGAATATTTCCTTCACCGTCCAGACACTCTTTCTGGCCTTGAGACATCTTTTATTGCCTGATTTGGCAGCCTATAGATATTTCTGACGGTCCATCGTAGGATGGGCCATCGCCGACACATTTACGATTGACAGCCCTAAGTGATATCTATAGCTATAGCTGCTATACTTTTCTCCTTTTCTTTTCTTTCTTCCCCCTTGCCATGTTTCCTTCCTTGTTCAAACCCACTCTTCCACATTCCTACACCTCCCAACAATCTCCACTGTCCTCATTCCCACCACAGACGAGCGAATCTCTGCCAAGTCCAAAGAGGTGACAGATGCAATTCATGCAGCCTAGCCCTCAATTGCTTACAACCAGAATCTTCCACAGGGTGAGAAATTACTCTTCCACATACCTACACCTCCCAACAATCTCTACTGTCCTCGTCCACCACAGACGAGCGAATCTCTGCCAAGTCCAAAGAGGAGACGGATACAATTCAGCCCTAAGTGATATCCATAGCTATAGCCGCTATACTTTTCTCCTTTTCTTTTCTTTCTTCCCCCTTGCCATCCACATTAATACACCTCCCAACTATCTCCACTGTCCTCATTCCCACCACAGACGAGTGAATCTCTGCCAAGTCCAAAGAGGTGACAGATGCAATTCATGCAGCCTAGCCTTCAATTGCTTACAACCAGAATCTTCCACAGGGTGAGAAATTACTCTTCCACATACCTACACCTCCCAACAATCTCTACTGTCCTCGTCCACCACAGACGAGCGAATCTCTGCCAAGTCCAAAGAGGAGACGGATACAATTCAGCCCTAAGTGATATCCATAGCTATAGCCGCTATACTTTTCTCCTTTTCTTTTCTTTCTTCCCCCTTGCCATCCACATTAATACACCTCCCAACTATCTCCACTGTCCTCATTCCCACCACAGACGAGTGAATCTCTGCCAAGTCCAAAGAGGTGACAGATGCATTTCATGGTAGCCTAGCCCTCAATTGCTAACAACCAGAATCTGCCACAGGGTGAGGCGTATCTTCCAAGTTCGAACAAACGACGTGGTGACCGGCTACCCAGTCGAATCGAATCGCGGTCTTACCAAGTCCACAAGGAACACACATACAGATCCTTCAACTCCGAGACGTCAAAGAACTAGTGGATGGTATAAGCATGGCGTCAGAGACAATCGTCAGATCCTGAGATTCTCGTTAACCCCAGATCGAGAGAGAGGGGAGGCCAAGGGCCTTGCTCCACCGCTCACCACATGCACAAAAGACAAACATTATGGCGGTGCATCTTTGCATGCTCTAGCTGAAGATGCATTGCTCCTTTGCACATGTGGCAGAGCGAGGCCCCAAGGCGACTCCCACGTTCCCATATTATCGACAAGCCATCTCAGTGCTCAGATCCACCGCATTATGTGTGAAAAAATGCGGGCCTCTTAAACCCACAACGAGATGGATGTGAGATCATGGCACACACCTACGACGACGCTACGACATCAAGGAAATGTTCTCAAGAATACCTGCAGCGTGCCTCTGGCTGCCCTGGCCTAGACCCAGGGCTATCTGACTATTTTGCCTGTTCGGCCTGTGGGACCAGCCCGTGGGCTGACCCATAGGCCGTGTGATATTCAGTCCTGTCCAATAGAATAAATATTACATACTCCAATTGGCATCGACGGGACGTTTTTTTCAATATGTTGTGTTATCGAACCAGGGCAATCTCCAAGTGGACCACGGACATCAGAGGGACCCGATGGCAAATACACCGGCGAATCCCACATAGGTTCCCAAAAGGCCTTCCTTTTTTTTTTTTTTTTTTTTTTTTTTTTTTTTTTTTTT